CGGCATCGACGAGCACAAGGCACCCATTCAAAATGTCTCGGCAGGAGAGATTTTCTAGTTATTATTATTATTATTAACTGACCTTCTCCTCTGGACAGGGACCGGCTTCTCTCCCAGTGGCTCCCCCTGTTGGCAGAGTGTCCCCTGACAGCGCGGACTTACGAGGACAGTGCTCTGCTGCGGGACCGTGCAGCCGTACACTCCCTGTCTCGCATCCTACACACGCTCAATGAGTTCGCCATCACCCTGGAAACGGCACTGGTTAAAGGAGTAGACCTCTGACCCCGAACAATAAGCATGGAGACTAACACCCCCCCCTGTCTGCAACGTACTGCAGGAATGCTGATGGGTTAAAACGTTCATCTTTCCATGACTTTTCGAGACTATATCATTATAAAAAAGGACACCGGACCGGATGAAGCTTCAAGCGTATTGCCTTGTTCACTGTATTTGCTTCAGGAAGTGGTCTGGTTTTTCGTGCTACGCTTTACACTGTGAAATTCCTGGAGGAAAAAATCAAGAGTCATTAATCATCTCACTTTTACAGTAGATATTCTCACAGCTCGCACCGTTAACTGCACCTGACCCTTAGGACAACTATAACTCTCCTTCTACTGCTGTATTGCTTGCACTTGAAATTTAAACTAAACACATGCATGGCCAAATTCTGTTTCCTTGTTTGTTTTATGTCTTTAGTGTGTGGTGACTTGAAATATCAGGACTCAGGCCTTATTATAGAAACAGATTTCTTGACGTTATTCATTGAATATCCTAGTAAATATAATAAAGAAAGCTAATGCTCCCACAGTATAATATGTTATAATAGGTTGTATTATTATGCTCTTGTTATACTGTAAAATGTCCTGATGGCCTGATTCTCTTTGCTTATTTCAGTTTGGGGTCACAAACTTCAGAGAGTTGTGCTCATGAAATCCTCCCTTGTTGAAACACTGAAACCAAACTGGTGTCCCAGTTGTGTCTGTTCAAATAGTCTTTACCTCTTTGTCAGATTTATTTTTCCTCCTCTCATTGTAAATATTTTGCTTCATTAGATCTTCAATAGAACCGTGGCCATTTGTTCTTATGCTAAAATGAATCTGTGGCATTTTCCCTGTATAAAGGCATCTTATTTGTGTCTGTGTAAAACAATAGATTCCACTATACTTTACCGATTATGTGGATTAATAGTCACGTTGTTTTTTTTCTGAACTGTTCCATTGTCTTTGCAAAAAAAAAATATATCTGACAATGAATAGAGCACAGGTTCTTAAAAACAGCTAGGTATTATTTTGATGTTGCATTTAACAGTTTGAGAATTGTGAAAATGCTGTCTCCTGCACTCTCCTGCAAGCACTATGTAACCCACAACGACCAAGCCTTTATTATCATTGAAGTACAGATTAGAGAAAGCAATAATGAACTGTTATTTATGAAATGTGTTGTAAAAGATTAAAGTTAATATTGACATACCTGACATGTCTTGGTCCTGTTGTTTGTGCTAATCTGTGTGAAAGGATATAGTAAAAGTTTACCGAATAAAAACTTGACCAACTACTAAATACATATATACACACTGTGTGATCCGTGGATATTTTATAATTTTTAAGATGGTTTTTGCATCAATGGTGTGCATGCATACATGTGAGACCTAAATACACCACACGCAGTGTAATGCAATCCCATTCAACAACAGTGAAGCACAACCTACTTTTGTAAAGACTGTGACACGCTTATCACAACTAATTAAAGTGACACCTTAAGAACGCTCGCTCTGCCCAATCAGCAAACCATGAAATATTCAGCATTTCAAGTAACAACAATAACATCATCATCAAAATATTTGCCATTTCTGTGCCAATTGTGTACTTATGCATTTTCACGCACTAATAGCTGAAATAAATGAAGAGTAGAGTAGAAATAACAAAGTAGCATTTGATATAATACAATTTAATATAATGTAAAAGAATAGCACGAGTTATGTTATTTTATAAAATAATATAATGTAATAGAAAATAATATGTTATGTTATAATATAATGTAATGTTATGTAATGTTATAGAAGAGAATATATTATGTTATGTTATATTTTATTTTAATAATACTATAATGGAATGGATTAGAATATGTTATGTTATGTTATGTTATAATATAAGATAATGTAATGTAATGTAATGTAATGTAATAGAAGATAATTTATCATGTTATGTTATGTTTTGTTATAATGTAAAATAATATAATATAATAAATATTCGTGTTCGGGCACAGTAGTAAACGTACTTCGTCACAGAGCACCACGGGACAGACTCATTCCAGCGGTGTCATCACGCAGTGTTATGAGCCTCTATAGGCTGGATGGTTGTGTGAGGGGCCCGCTGGTTGTCTGCGGGTCCTCCGCTGACCACTGGATGGAGACCCCGTGTTTCAGCCTCACGTTATTCTCCTCTAATCGCCTCCGTTGTCACGCAATTGAAATCAACAAAGCGCATCTTCGTGCGAGACGCCTCCTAAAAACCTCCGTCCTCCAGACGAGCCATCTGGCGCTGTAGTAAAACCACAGGCCCCGCCCCTCTGCTTACATTCTCCAATGCGCCATAGCAACCGGGGCCGAGCCCCCTGTTCCCGCGCAATGTTCCCATCCTTATAAGGGCAGCAGAATGCAGACGCACGCCCACGTCACACGTCGTTTATGTAAATGGTTTGATTGAAGAAAAGGAGAAGAGCCTCCTGCTCCGCTCTGAAATGGAGGTGTGGATACCACGCATGCGCAGTGCGTCCACAACTCTCCAGTCCCGTCCACAGGCGCAGACATCAACAAGAGAGCGGGTTACTGATCCGGCTTGGTTTTCATAATAGTCCCATCGCGACGACGCGGAGCTGCACTTTGACTCGGTTTGACGCGACGCGGAACAAGGTAAAGAATGACGCCATTTTTTTGTAAAAGTGTGTAGTTGCGGCGCTCCCGGAGGAGGTTGGAGTCTCAGCGGAGCTTTCACATGTGAATTGAAAACAAGCTTCCACTTGTCCGGGAACAATCGGTGTGTTTTGGGCCTGCTGCAGCGGCGACCGGGGGGTCAGCTCCACGTGTGTTCACCTCACAAACACGGAGAGTCGGTGCAGGAGATGCGGGAGAAACCGCAAACACGCGTGAAACCGCGTCAGAATGGCCTCCGTGTGCACGCATGAGGAAGAGCAGGGGCTGTTGTTGTTATCGGTCGCTTCAGCGCGTTGGTCGTTAATCGCCGGCTGAATGTGACTAACGTGTAATAGTTTGGTGTTAAACTTCACGTTAAAGCACGGTGGTGCACGGAGCGTGTGCACAGCGGCTGCAGGCGACCACACATCTTCACCGGCCGAATAAACCAAGTTGCTCTCACGCCCACTCGGAGCAGAGATACGTCTCAGCACGCGGGTCGCTGCTGTCAACAAAACAGAAAACACCAACTATTCACTATTAACGGACGCTTCGTTAAACTTGACCCGGGTTAACGATGCTGTTAAGAGGATGTTTCCGCGTTAAAAAGCGGTTTAAACTGCGACTCGTCGCTTTGAACTCGGTGCACATGTAGTTGGACTGATGCAGCGTCGCGGCTCCGGAATAACAAAGAGTAAAGATCAAAGTACACAATTCCAGGAGAACTACTTTCTCTCCTCGGTCGCATTAAAAGCCGTTTTTTTTTGCGTCGGAATTGTGTCGGTGTGAGTTGATGTGACTACGTGAAAGTTGGCGCAGGAAAAGTCGGCCATCGTCGAGCTGTGGGCTGGGATCATAAAATGGGTGCGCATGAAGCAGGTCGTGTGGAGAGCCATGCTTCCTCGCCGGAGTGGGCGGCGAAAACTGGCGACTCGCACTTCGATGGAGACAAGTGCGTTACTCGCATCGTGCTTTGATCTCGGGGGAGGGGGTGGACGCGTTGTTCGCACAAGTCTGCGCCGCTTTTGACAGCAATTTTTACACTTTAGATGCGAATGCTGCAGTTTTTTGCGGAGAAATCGCATCACACCCCCTTCTCCACGCCACCTCCGCCTTTGAAGTGTGTTGCCATGTTGAGTTACGTCACGTACTGTATTCTGCTGCAGAGATCGTCTGCCGCTGACAGAGAGCTCACCCGAAGGCCCCCCCCCCAAAAAAAATATTCTAGAATATATACACAAGGTTGCTTTTATTTAATAACTCCTACAAATTACATCTATATAAATGATCAAGATAGGTTGAATTATATCTTATATTAATCACCCTTCTGATCATATATGCTTTGTTTTATGATTGTTTGTTGTCATTTTCAATCACTTTCACCAGCTCATGCACTTTCCATGTTAAAACTTTTCACTGTGGTTTTCCATTCTCGCCCAGTCTCGTTTTGAAAATACTTGCACTGCTGCCTTCAACCACCAGGTGCTGTTTTTTTTCTCCACTTCTCATCTTCTCCATCACCTTTCCAACCTTTTAAACAACAGTATGAGATAAAAGCAGTGGAGTGGGAGGTCTGTGGTTTCCCCTGCTCTCTGTGTGCTCTCTGTGGCACCGCACTGTCAGAAGACCCCGAGGACTGATGGCAAGAAAAAAAACCCAGTCTGGGGGGCGCGGCTCGCAGTTTTTGCCGCAGTTCAGGTCCACATGTGCTGTGGAGAATACATTTGCCTAGCAACACATATCGTTATTCCGCTGCATAATCTGCGCATCTCGAGTGGTTTAGTTTTTCCCTCGAACACATTCAGATCAACACATTTCTCTTGCAGCACGTTGCATTTTTACAATCTTGATTTTAACCATGATAATTATCCTCTGCAGCCTGGAGGCTCAGGCTAAATGCTGTATTTTGAGTTTCCTAAACGAGGCGTGCGTCCTGTGCGCGCAGCGTGGTGACATGATCTGTCTGACACGCTGTCTGACTGTTGACCTACTTCCCTCATGTGGGTCACAGCAGAGATGCTCCAACAAAATCGCTTTCGCTGGATGTTTTTTAAATCTCCCCGACCGTGACCAAAGCACTCCTTATTTACATTTTAATATTCAGCAGTTCACATGTGGCTAATCTGCACAATAATACACCAAGTCTGATCTGAGCCACGAGGCTGATGCTGCAGCGGGAAGATGCTGCAGCTGACGCACGCTGTTCAGAGCCCGGGTGCTTCTGTTATTTATTAATTTAGTTTGTTTTCTGCTCGCAGATGTTTGGCTTTCACAAGCCGAAAATGTACAGGAGTCTAGACGGCTGCTGCATCTGCCGTGCAAAGTCTTCCAGCTCTCGTTTCACGGACAGTAAACGCTATGAGAAGGAGTTCAGGAGCTGCTTCGGGTACGTGACACACCTCAGCACGTGGTCCACAACATGTCTCATTGATGGAAAACATTTCCCACTCATGATGTGTTATGGTCTTGCAGGTTGAGCGAAACTCGATCTGGAGAAATCTGTAATGCCTGTGTGCTGCTGGTGAAACGATGGAAAAAGCTTCCTGTGGGAACTAAGAAGAACTGGAACCATGTGAGTGTGAATCTGTGAGCTGCTGCTTAGTCATGATAAAATACTATAATCATTCAAGAGTAGTCACAGTCAAACATTTCTCCATCCCTCTGCACAGGTGGTGGATGCCAGGGGAGGTCCCAGTTTAAAAATTACCTCCAGGCCCAAGAAAATAAAGTCCATCTCTAAGAAAGCTCGGCCAACTCAGATCAGCAGGCTGCAGAAAGAGCTTAAAAGAAACAGTGAGTTGTTACTTTCTCTCTGGCCTTTACTTTAATAGCAGTCACTCATCTCAAAACATCTTTGTCATACACGTCTAACACCTAATAATCCTTTCTGCTCACCAGATTCAGATGCTCACAGCACAACCTCCAGTGCCTCTCCGGCTCAGTCTCCCAGCTACAGCAACCTGTCGGATGACGGCTCTGACGCTGAGCTCAGCCCAGGTTCCAGCCGCTCCCCAGTTTTCTCCTTCCTGGACCTCACCTACTGGAAGAGGTAAAACGCACAGTGAAGCAGTGGACCAGCTTTGTTCTACAGACTCATTTAGGATTTAAAATGACATCAGCTTTTTAAAAAAATTGTTACACACACATAAAATAATCCAAAAGCAATTTTTATCAAGAGACATTTTTATGGTTTATCAATCCCCATAAAGTATATCATGAGTGATGTTACGAAGAAGTCAGGATATTATGTCATGAATAGTTCAAATTTGATTTTCCAAGGTATCTACATCCCATAGCACTATAGACAAGCTTTAGGAATGACGTCACAATGAAGAGGAAATATTAAAACATTTAGAATTGACTGAGTTTATTCAGCTCATGCTGGGTGTGCATCGCCTCACCAATCTTTCTCATTAGTTTATAGTTTAGCGACATCTTCCACCTGACCAGCGAGCCAAAAGCTTGAAACTGTTGATGATGTCTGTCACATCAGTTGAATCATTATTTGATAATGTCAAGCATCATTAAATGGCAATTTAACTATTTAGATATTTGCAGAGTCACACTGTTATTGCATGTTAAAGAAGTACTATGGATGGAAAGTTCTCCTGCTTCATTCACTTGTGTCTCGTGTTTTGTGTAGGCAAAAAGTTTGCTGTGGAATCATCTACAAGGGTCGCTTTGGAGAGGTGCTCATCGACCCGCATTTGTTCAAGCCGTGCTGCCGCAAGAAACAGCGACAGCAGCAGCAACAGGAGGAGGAGGAGGAGGAAGAAGACGAGGAGGAGGAGGACGAGGAGGAGGTGGAGGTAGAGGAAGGCCAGGTGGGAGTTGATGTCGAAGGGGAAAAATCCCAGGTGGAAGAGGAAGTGAAGGAAATTCCAGCGTGTGAGGAAAACGCAGAGCCCGCTCAGCTATGTGTTACCATGACAACCCCTCCAACCAGGGGCGTAGTGGTGGAGGCAGGGTGGTAAATTCAAACCCCCCCCCCCTTCCCTTTGCACACATCTCTGAAGAAATCTCGGGGTGCTGTTTTTTTCCTCGAGCACTTACAGAAAGAAGTTGCCTCAGATCGCCTTCAGTCACAAAGCAGCTGAAAATCCTTTGGTCTTCTCCATAATGGTGTTGGAGATTTGTTTATTATGTTTAAACTGTAATTTATGGACTGTTGTGTTTCCACTTTGTCTCTCTTTTTTTGTTTGTATTTAATATTCTTACCATTCTGATTGCGGATCATCATCCGTGTTGTTTTTGATCTACTTTCGATTGAAATGCTGGAGCTCTTGTTCGCTGGTACATTTAGAATATTTAATTCCAAAACGCAATAGATCCACCTGCTAACAGAAAAGGGTGCTACTTGAAATTCATCACTCAACATTTCGAACATGCAACTGAAATCATTCTCATTGTGGATATTTTATAAGCTTCTCTATGTTATGGTGACCAATATGGTGGGATTAGATTTTCTCTATACTCAGAGTAGATGGCTCTTTCCTTTTAATGGTGGATATCTCGTTTTGGAATGAATGACACTTTACACTGATGGAGCACAGACCTGTACAGAAGCCCTTGTGTTTGTCTCTATTCACATCCACTCCTATCAAAGCATTTGTGTTTGTAAACTAGATTAGCGTCTCTGTGTGCAAATACGTACGTGGTCCCATTGAAACGAGGCCTATTCACAGCTTCAACAGCAAATACACCAGCCTTAATTATGTGTTACAGACAGTGCTAGTGTTAATTTTGGATTGGTATTAAGGAACAAAAAGGGACAGTAGCTATATTTATCGTGGCCTGAGCAACACATAGTGCATTTTGCATGAATGGCAAGCCACTCATCCAAAAGACCTAACGATCTGATGCATGAGTCTACGAAAAATTGCATGGCCTTATATAAACTGTAAATCTTCATTTTATTTTTTTGGATCCATTTCTCTGGAGTTTTAACTTATTTTTGTATGTAAAAAAACTTAAAAAAAGCAAAAATAGAAGTCTCTTTGCATAATAATAATAATAATAATAATACCACACAATATGACAGCAAAACACACAATCGGTCTATAGTCATTCAGCAATATCAGCATCAGTGTTTTTCCTCATTCCTGGGTCAGTATACGGTAAAAGACTTTATACAAGCTGAAATTCTATGCCATTGCCTCTTATATACCACACATGTGATATATAGCCTAATATTACTTTATTTATCAAATGAAAGCCAAAGCACATTGAAATTCACCCAATGTCAAATCAATGCAGGTTTTCTATGGACACTTGTGCTTGTCCGAGGTCATTTGTATGTATGTTTATGGTATTCTAAAAACAAACACTAATATGAAATTTCATACCTGTGATGTTGTAGTTGGGAGCAGAGGGTGTTATGTACATAAGGGGTTGGGTGAGCCACGTGGCTCATATATGGGATTAGTTATTTATTTATTTCATATTTATTTGTATCACTGCGTCCCTGCTTAGAAGTGTAATACTATGAATCCTTCTCTTCTTTAGCTTATGCGTAGCATGGTTTTTGTACATCAGAAATCGAATGTAATTCTCACGCAGGCTCTGTTTAACGTTGCGTTGAATTACCGGTTGTCAATATTTGTGAAATGATGTTATGTATTTATTTACTCATCGGTTCAGTTGCGTGCAACCTAACTTATTCTGTATCATCATTTTGGATCTGTATCCTATAGACTGACAGAAATGATAGATTGCAGCTGAACTGTACTTCTCCCTGTTTAGCCTGTAGCTTAAAATGTTAAAGAACAGTAGGATATCTAACTGTAGACCTGCATGTACTGTTGCTATGCATTTACTTAGCTTACCAGTTAGACAAAGCAGTTTTGTATTTTTTATAAATCATGTACTTTTTTTACATGTCCCTTAATAAAACAATTTTGTGAGTTTTCTGGAAACATGAAATTATTGCTTTAAGGTGGGTGGATAAACATGAGTTCCTATCTAAATTCAATTATCCATAACATTATGATTGGAATGATTTACTTTGTTTAAGAATACTTACTCTCAGTATGTAAGTATTAATGTCTGATATAAGGTGATGCAATGTAACAAAGGTAAAAGTACATTTACAACATTTCAGAGAAGATATTCCATATAAAGCACCTTGCACATTACTCATTTTATTTTAGTTTTATTTAACTATTCCCGCTAATCACTTTGCTTGAAATTTAAGAAATACAGCTTGAACCTTCAGAGTTTGGCTTGATATGTACAGCCCCTTATAGGTTTCAGTCCTGGGTTCACAAATTGAACATTTAACATCTGAAAAAGACTTGAAGGTACAAGACTGGGAGAACTGCATCACTAAACAAGAGGTGCAAAACCCATGTTTTAAACGACTGATAATAACCAATCAATATAGAAAATTCACAGCAAGCCTATGAGATTTTTGCCTCAAGAAACAAGTAATTGTCTATTTACAGGCTGTACAAAATAATGTATGGAGCATTATAATAGCATCATTATAGTCTCTTATCCATGCAGCCCAGTCAAAATACATANCTTTCGGTGGGAAGTGACCAACGCATCGTAGTTATTTTCGATAACGATGATATCAGGAATGAAATATTGTTAATGATGCGCGTTTGTAATTTCCGCAGTTTTAAATAAAGAAACGAAAAAGAAATAAAAGAAGAAAAAAGCACCGGAAAGGGTGGTCCTGTGACCGGAAGTGAAGGAACGCGGATGTGTGGTGTTGTTGTTGCTCAGTCAGCTGTCAGGTGTTTTCTGCAGATGTAGATTCAGAATAATATCACAGAGGAAACAGTCGCTAACCAGAGGAACAAGGTAACGTGTTGCTGCTCTGCTTGTCATTGTAGCTCGGAAGCTAACAGGGATTATATCCGTGTTATCTATGACTCGTCCCGGCTGTTAATGAAGTGAATGTTCGGTTGAAGCCGCTGTAATGAAAACAGATGTGAAGTTTAGTAACGTGTCTGTTTAAAGCTACAGCTCCTGTTGATGCAGATATCAGCACCGAACACTTTTGTAATGAGGCTGTACACGTGGTTTCATTCAGCTCTCTCATGTTGTTAATACAGCTCGCACATGTCTGACTCCAGGTTTGTTTTCCCAGGTTTCCCCTCTGGATCGTCATCATGGAGGAGCCCACAGCCTCTGGTGTCTTCTGCAGCCGGATGCTGAGCATGGTCAACTCTGAGGACGTCAACGCCATCATCCAGGCTCAGAGACACATGTGAGTGTTCGTGTCATCTGATGAGCATCACGTGTCTCCCCTGCTTCCTCATATCACTGTATATATAATGTTGTGTTGGTTGGTGATGGCCCCTTCACACAGACCTCATTCAGACCTGGTATCCATCCTGAGGGATCCAGTCACAAGTGGTCGGCTCTATGTACAAGTCTGAATGCACCCAATTGCATCTTCAGTGCTTCCTTAGGTCTGATCACTGCTGTGTAAACTGTCATGCTCGCTCACTAGTACTGAAACACACACACACACACATTCACACACAGACATCAGAAACATATGTAAACTCAGACTTGGTAAAAAGAACATAATTAGGTCTTTGCCAGAAATGATATATGTGATTATTTGCACATAGAGCGAGGAAGTGAGATGTGATCACAAGTGGTCACAGGAGACGCATTTAGGAGACAAATTGCTCAGGTTGGACGGGATCACCAGGTTTGAACAGGGCCTTACACTGTATATGACAATGATGCTGCCATGTTCCTTCCTCATTTCAAACTGGCCTCTGAGGATTCTTGTTGTTTTCTGATTAATTGTGTAAACAGGCTCCACCGCTTTGAGAAAACCAACGAAATGCGTTTTTTTATCGATTCATGAATCAAATGTCGCACATCTTAAATATTATGGGATCAGATTTACTTAGTTATCTTTATAGATCTATATTTGGACAATTATATATATTCTATATTATTTGGAACTATATTTAGGTCCTGCATTTAAATAATTATTATCTACACTTATGCTATATGTGTAGTGATCTATCATAAAAAGATATTCAAGAATAAAGGACATTTAAATAACTATTATTTTTTGCACATGCACTTTGAAATTCTAATGTTTTTTTATATTTAACAAGTTCACCATTTTTTACATACACTTTTTATCTTTCGGTGGGAAGTGACCAACGCATCGTAGTTATTTTCGATGCTGCCATGTCCCTTCCTCATTGCAAACTGGCCTCTGAGGATTCTTGTTGTTTTCTGATTAATTGTGTAAACAGGCTCGACCGCTTTGAGAAAACCAACGAAATGCTGATCAACTTCAACGGGCTGTCAAATGTACGACTGCAGCAGATGAACGAGCGCTTCCTGCTCCACACACGAACTCTTGTGGAGATGAAGAAAGACCTGGACAGCGTCTTCAGACGGATCAGGTAAACGCTGCCCCAACACACACACACACACACACACACACACA